ATACCCATCCCACTCATACCCATACCCACTCATCCCCATCCCCACTCATCCCCATCCCCACTCATCCCCATCCCCACTCATACCCATCCCCACTCCCTATCCCCCCCCCCCCCCACGCCGCCACCCCCCCTCCCCTCCCCTCCCCTCTCCCCCCCCCACCCACTGCAGCACTTGTCTGAGGGAGGCACGAGTGTGAGAGGCAGACGAGCGATGGGGCTGACGAGCGCACTGGGGGTGCTTGCGGACGACTCTCACGTGTGCTACAACAAGTACAAGGTGCTCAAGAGGTTGTCGGAGAGGGAGCCGACCAATGCCAAGGCCAACATGCTGAAGGACCCTCTCCGCAATGCCTCCAAGGACGTCCACAAGGTGGCCAAGGAGGCCAAGGCGAACCCTGCTGCCTTTGCCACAGCCCATGTACAGGTACGTCCTCATCTCATTCCCCATGCCCATGCCCATGCCCATGCCCATGCCCATGCCCCCCTCCCCCTCCCCCCTCCCCCCATCCCCATACCCTCCCCCCGTTTCGCCTAAAAAAGGCCACCTACCACCGCTACATGACCTGCACGCCACGGGCTGGTATACAGAACACACTGCCACAAGCTGCCTACAAACCACACTACCTCCTGTCGCATGCTCTTGACTACACCCTATCCCAGCATCATCCGCACACATCTGACTCACATCGCCCCCCTCCCCCCCTCCCCCCCCCCCTCCCTCCTCCTCCTCCTCCCCCTGGCCCGGCTGCAGGCCTGTGTCGAGGTCCTCACCACTTACGTCGAGGCGCTGGAGAGGTACGCCAAGCACCCGACAGCGACTCGGCTGCATGCTGACAATGCAGCTGCTCTTCGTAAGGCTATGGCAAGGTTCGAGTCGGACGGTCTTGCCTTTGTCGCCGCCAGATCGCCGCCCACTGAAGCCGCCTTTGACATGGCTGTCGGCCTCCTCACAAAGGTCTGGATCGCCGCCGCAGACGAGGTTGCCATCTCGCAAGACGTGGCTGCTCTCCTCTATCCCCACACACAGCACAGCCCATTGCCGGCTGCCGCTGCCGGCTTTGAGCTCTCAGAGAGCGACGGTGGCGCACCGACCAACGTCGCTGCCGCTGGTGACTTTGAGCTGTCTGAGAGTGACGGCGGCGCGCCGACCAACGTCGCTGCCGCTGGTGGCTTTGAGCTGTCTGAGAGCGACGGTGGGCCGCCGGCTGCTGCTGCCGGCTTTGAGCTCTCAGAGAGCGACGGCGGCGCACCGACCAACGTCGCTGCAGCTGGTGGCTTTGAGCTGTCTGAGAGTGACGGCGGCGCGCCGACCAACGTCGCTGCGGCTGGCGGCTTTGAGCTCTCGTCCGACGGCGGCGGCTATGGCGCTGGGTTCACCGCCGCGGGTGGTGGCGCCGGCGCCGCTGGCGGCACCTTTGATCTCTCCGAGTCGGACGCCGGCGACATGCCGACGCCATCGCCGGCGCCGGTGCCGACGCCCAAGGGCAGCATGCCGCAGTTTATGCTGACCGACGACGACGAGGTCGGAGCAGGTCCCGACGGGTTTGAGCTCTCCGAGAGCGACGGCGGGCCGGCAGCGCCGGCGGCAGGCGGCGGGTTTGTGCTCTCCGAGAGCGACGGCGACGCGTACGTGCCGCCGCCGCGGCCGCTGGACATGAACGAGCTCAACTTGTCGACCGACGAAGACGTGGTTCTGCCAGAGGTGTCTGGATTCGAGCTCTCGCCGCCAGCCGATGTGCACGCCGGGCGCGGGCTGGTTGCGGCCGGAGTCGGGTGCTCGCTGGTGGGCATCAACTCCGCGACGCGGGTCCGGGCCAACGAGCCGAGCTCTTTCAAGATCTTTGCCGGCGACTCGAAGGGCTTTCCCATGGTTAAGGGCGGCGACGAGTTCTTTGTCAAGTTTGACGGGCCGGGCGAGTACGAGGTGGCTGTGGAGGACCTTGACGATGGGACGTATGAGGTCAAGTTTACCATCTTCCGCGGCGGCAACTACACCCTCCACGTTCGTCTCGGCTCCAAGTACGGCGCCGCCGTCGGTGGAACGCCGCTGCCGTTTATGGTGGACGGCGAGGAGAAGGACGCAGCGGCAGCGGCAGACGATGTCATCCCCGACGAGGCCTACGCCATTCTCGAGGGTCGCGAGCCTGTTGCAAGCGCCAAGAGCGAGTCGGCAGACATGCCGCCGTCGCGCGGGCCGGACACGTTTGCGGACGAACTGGGGCGAGTGCTGGAGATGCAGCCCGAGACCTCGCTCATCGACGTCGACACGTACGACAAGACAGTGATGATGAACGCGCTGCTGAACACGCAGCACACGCTTTCGACGCTGCAGATGCAGGCCGGCGACCTGTCGGCCGTGGCCAAGGGCGTGCTGGCGCAGGTGGCCGAGCTTGAGACCAAGCAGACGGCGCTGGTGACCGAGTGGAAGCGGTCCGAGATGAAGCGGTCCAAGCTGACGTCGGACATGCACGAGCTGGTGGCCAAGTGCTCGGCAGCTGGGGTGCCGGTCAACACAGCGAGCCTTGAGGCGCCCGAGCCGTTTGACTCGATTGCCCGCCGGATTCACGCCATGCTCGACGGCCGCCGGGCTGGCCCAGGCCATGCGCTCTCGGACTTTGGCGACGACGAGCGCCTCGCGCTGCGCGAGTGCCTCTTGCGCGAGGTCGACGAGATTGTGGAGCAGACCCAGTCCGGGCACACGCTCATCAAGGATGTTCTCACGGCCAAGCTCAATTACGTGGCCAAGCCGGCGCTTGGCGCCGGCGAGGAGGAGTATGTGCCGTCTACCGGAGCGCCTGGCCCGTCGGCCGGCTCGCCGGCCCGCCGCCGGAGCGGCGACCCGTTCTCAGACGCCGGCTCACCGTACCGCGACTCGGACGACGAGTACTCGGACGCCGGCTACCGGAGCGCCCGCCGCAGCGGGCGGCGTGGCTCGTCGTCGCGCCGCCCGTCGTCGCTCGCCGCAGAGGGTCCGGCCGTCGAGCGGGCGTACGACGTTGCCCGCTCGGAGATCCGCACCATGAAGGAGACCGCCAAAAAGACCGCCATGCGCCACAGGCTCATGCAAGCTCGAGTCAAGCAGCTCGAGAATGCTCGCTTCGAGAACCTCGAGAAGGGCCTCACCCGCGGCGGCGCCAAGAACGCCTCGGGTGCCGCAGTCCGCCGCCAGCGGACAGGTGGCGCCTCTGCCCGCCGCGGCGGCTTTGGCCCCGCGCCGGACGACGAGCAGCTGCGCTACGGCGAGCAGCTCAACAAGCTCTCGCTCGAGCACGAGACCCTCCGCGACAAGTTCCACAAACTCGAGGAGGAGCACAACCTGCTCAAGAAGAAGATGCGCGACTTCTCCAAGGCCGCAGACACCCGCGTCAAGAAACTGGCCAACGACCATCTCGCCGCCATGACCGAGGCTAAGCGCCAGTTCGACAACGAGCTCAAGCTCAAGCACGCCGAGGTCATCAAGCTTCAGGATGAGAAGCGCTTGCAGGTCGTCGAGATGCGCACCGCCCTCGAGCATGCTCACCGCAAGGATCTCCGCGCACTTCAACGCGAGCACGCCCTCAAGGCCGCCGCTCTCCGCGAGGAGCTCTCCGACCTCAAGCAGCTTATCGAAGCCGATGCCGACGCTCTCTTGCCACGCCCGGCATTGTCTCCCTCTCGGCGGCGATAAACGCCCTTTCTCCTCCTCTCCCCCCCCTCCCCGCTCCCGTCCTGGCGTTGAACACCCCATGTCATGCCCACCGTCCCCTCCGAGTCGGCAACCAGTGATCAGCGGCCATCCCTCCTCTCCTCCTCTCCCGCACGCGCCCTCCATGTCTGGGCTGGTGGGCCGACGGAAGAGCAAACGCGGCGACCAGCGCGGAGGGCTGACAACTGAACGATGCAACTACCTCCTCTCCCTTGCAGCTGCTATAGCTCCTGTGGCGCCCGACCTTGCCCGGCGGCATGTGGCTGGCATGGTGGCCACCGCCCGGAACGGCGACATTGTCCTCGGCGACTCGATCCAGGCCCTCTACTGCCCGGCCTGCTTCACCCTGTACTCGCCGGAGACGACCACAACCCGCGTGACCTCCACATCGGCCCGCGTCAGCCAGAGGGCACGCAGATCACTGCGTCACATGCGGTGCCATGGCGAGGCCCATTCACAAACACTCGTGCATCTCCGCGAGATCAGCGCCATCGTCGTCCGCAAGTGCAAGCACTGTGGCTTTGCCGCCCACGCCCCCGGGAGCTACCATCCACACCGGGCGAACGAGGACCCGAACGACTCGCTCACGGCACGCTCCAGAGGCTCCGAATCCAAGGCCGGATCCAAGGCGCCTGCGCTGCCGATGGCCGGGGAGGCGCTCACTGGGAGCCTGGCACGGGTCCGATCGTCGGAGACCACTCCGTGTGGCTCGCCGGCATCATCGGCGGCAAGCTCGCCGCGAACGCCGCGGACGCCAGCTCAGGGTGCGGCGGTGGTGGCCAAAGCGAGGGCGCTCATGGCCGGCGGATCCGGCCGCGGATCGGGTGGAGGGAAGAAGCGCAAGCGGTCGATGCAGGCGCTGAAGAAGAAGATGGCCGGCGGCGGCGGTGGTGGGTCGGGGACCAAGAAGAAGAAGAACAACCTCAATGACTTTTTGGCGTTGCTGTGACTAGGCGATGGCCTCTCGTTGTCTGTGCACACCATCCCTTTTACCAGTCGTCCCACGAGTCGCCCGAGCCGGTGCCACGAGCTTCATCGTCGTCGGGCTTGTCGTCGTCAGAGGCAGTGCCATCGTCGCCCGACTCGGCGCTGGACGGTGAGCGCAGCGGCGTCTCGGATGCCATCTCCGAGGTCGTGGCGGTCGGTGTCATGTACGCAACAGGATCGTCCGACGATACGTCGGTGTAGGTGTACCCGCTGTCGTCGGACGCGTCGTCGAGAAAGTCGGACGCGTCCGAGTCAAACGACGAGAGGTCACACTCAAAGTCGACCGAGGCCGATCGGGGAGCGAGGCCGAGTCCGAGGCGTCATCGACGCAGGTAGCTGACGACACGTCGTGGACGTCTGAGGTGTCAAAGAGCAAGTCCTGCAGATCGGCAGACGCCAGGGCGGCGGTGGCCGGCGCCGACACCGGCGTCCCGGTCCCGCCACTCGCCGTGGGCGAGTCGAGCTCGGCACTGTCGATGCGCCACAGGCCGATGTTGGCCGAGCCGACCGGGCTGGCGGCCGAGTCGGTAAAACCGGCCTTGAGCATGCGCTGGAAGCGCTGTGCCAGGCTTTCGGACGGGAGCTTGGCAAGGAACTTGGTGCGGATGCACTCTTCGGCCTGGGTCGGGCGGCGGACGGAGGCAAAGAGCTTGTGACGGAGCAGGTCCTTGGCCGACTTGCGCTCAGCCGGGTTGATGCGGAGGCACGAGTGGACAAACGAGCGGAGAGCGCCCGAGAACTTGCGGCCCTTGACCTTGCGCCGGGTTAGCGTCGACTTGAGGTCCGGAGGGCCCTTTGTGTGCTCGGCCATGATTTGCAGAATGGACGCGCTGTAGTAAGGCGGCTGCCCGGTGGCGAGCTCGATGGCCATGATGCCGAGCGACCAGATGTCGGCCTTGGTGTCGTACCCAGTCGAGCCTTCGAGAACAACCTGCAGGACCTCAGGCGCCATAAAGCACGGCGAGCCGGCTAGGGTTCGGGAGCGCGAGTACGCTCCCCATGAGAGCCGGGCTGCGCCAAGATCCGCCACCAGGACCCGGCCGTCGGCGGCCAGCAGCAGGTTCGACGACTTGATGTCACGGTGGATGAGGTCCGATGCGTGGAGATAGGCTAGCCCGGAGAGCGCCTGATACAGGACCGCGGCAATGACAGACTCGTCGAGAATGCCCGATGGCGCAACGGAGACCAAGACGTCGCGAATGGAGCCCATGTCTGCGCGATCGGTGACAATCCACAGCTCCGAGCCGACTACAAACGATGTGTGTTGCTCGAGTAGGTTGTGGTGGTGCATGATGGACGCCGAGCGGAGCGACTCGGAGACCCTCGCCAGGTCGATATCCAGCGAGTCGAGCTGGATGACCTTGATGGCCACGGGAATCGCTTGCTTGGGCACTAGCGACTGGCCGTCAGCGTCAGCCAGCCGCACCACTTGGTTGGTAGACTCGGGCGGCGTGTAAGTTGCCCAGTAGACCTTGGAAGACGCGCCCGATCCGATCTGCTCCTCCAGCTCGTAGTCTTCTGGCTCCGACGAGAACTTGATCAGCCCGCGGGCACTTGCCGATCCGAGCCCAACATCCACCAACCGCGGCCGACTGACCAACATCGGCCCGCTCGAGCCACCAGGCCCAGCCACCGATGCCGCCCGCCGCTTCACCCGCCGCCGCCGCCTCCGCTTCCCAGCGGTGCCATTTGCCGAGTTGGTGGCTGATGCTTCAGCCGGTGCTCCCGCTGCTGAACCCTCACCCCTTTGCGAGCTTGCTGACGATGGCTGTGGTCCTTCTCCGGGCGCCTGTGGCGACGTTGCCGAGACGGACGTCGACGCCATTGTCGGCGACTGGGATGGCTCCTCGCCACCTGCGGACCAAGAACCATCACCACCATCACTGTTGTGGAGAGTGGTCGGAGATGATGGTGTTGCTCCTACTGCGGCAGCTGCTGATGCCACGGCGTCGGCCATGATAGCCGCAGGCGCAGTGGCCACATGATCCTTGCCCGCCATGCTCTCCCGCTGACTAGGACTCGCCATGTTCGCTGCCGTCCTTGCTTGCTCTCTACCTCTGTACCTCGCCGTGTCCAAGTATATCGTCCTCGCTCACCTCTTGCTCTCTCCGCCACCCTTCCTCTGCTTCTCCCCTGGTGTGCGGTGTCGTGCCCTGTCGCCAGTTCGCCCTGTCCCCCCTCTCTCTCCCTCCCCCCCCCCCCTGCTACTCCTGGCTCAGTGGTTCGGCCGTCGTTGCTGTTTCGTCCGGCAACACTCCTCGGATTGTTCGCTGGCACTGTTTGGCGCAGTCATTGTCGTTTATCGCCAGCATCGTCCATGGCTATCGCCAACATTGTTCATGGTAAGCGCCAGCATTGTCCATGGTAAGCGCCAGCATTGTCCATGGTAAGCGCCAGCATCGTTCATGGCTATCGCCAACATTGTCCATGGCCATCGCCAACATTGTCCAGCGCCAGCATTTTTCACAACCATCGCCAGCGCTATTCACAACCATCCCCAGCATCATCCATGGTAAGCGCCAGCATCGTCCATGGCCATGGCCCTCGTCACCTACCGCCGCCACAGTGGGATTCATTCGGCTGGATCACATCACAGTACAGGGATAGCTTAGCTGGTAAAGAACGAGGTCGAGTCGGCAAGGGTGGCCGGACCGAGGAAGCCGAGGTCCTTCTGGATGAGCGGCTCGTAGCCGCCGGAGAAGGTCTTCGCGTGGTGCGCGGCGAGCGAGCGCTTGGTAGCACGGAACGGTGCAAAGCCGTAGGCCGAGAGTGAGTGAGTGAGGACGGTGACCGAAGCCTCGGGCGAGTCAAAGTTGAGACTGGAGAAGCCGCCTGGAAGAGACTCGATGGCGGCGGTCGGTGAGTGCTCGTCAATGGCCTGGACGTCAAAGTAGCGGTAGATGACGACGCCGACAACAAGGACAACGAGGGCGACGATGGCCAGCGAGTGCAGCTCCTCGGTGTTGCCGCCGGTAAGAAAAGGCGAGGAAAAGGCGAAGAACGAAAGCGGGGTGACAACGGTGGCCACAATAAACGAAAACGTGGCGTTGCCGTACTTGACGACACCGAGCTGTGCGTAGTTGGTCAGGATATAGTTGAGGGTAAAGAGCATGACAAACGAGACGGCGAGCGAGCAGTCGCATTCGGGGCACGAGCTCGGGTTCTTGCCGGTGGCAAAGCAAAGGAATGCGTCCGACTGGTGTGACCAAAAGTCGCGCGGCGCAGAGTTGCCAAAGCCCGGGATGATCGACAGCGGCGCGCCCACAACAAAGATGGTGATGAGCTGATAGAGCGTCGACCACGCCATGAGGTGCGCCATGTGGATCGGCTGCTCGGCAAAAGCCTTCTCCTCATATACCGCCATAAATGCCGATGGCGACGAGCCGAGCGTCCACAAAAGGTCCCACCAGATCGATCCCTTAGGCCCCGAGCTCGACTGGCCCTTGCCGGTCAGCTTGGGCAGGAGCGCTACCACGATGCCAGCGAGAATGACGAAAACGCCGAACATCTGCCCGTATGAGTATCGCTGCCCAAGGTACAGGTACGACGCAATCATGCACATCGGCACAATGACCACCGTCGGGCCGAGAAGCGCCTGCTCCTGGCCGGGAATGTGCGGGCCGGCAAAGAGCAGGCACGCCCCGTTGATAGCGGTGAGAAACCCGATAGTCGCCCACTTCATGTGCGAGACCGACCGCATCGACCGCGTGATCTGGGTGGTGAAGAGCTGGAAGCCGGCGAGAACAACCGCAAAGACTGCCAGAAAGATGATGGCCGTGGTCCAGAAGACCCAGAACGGATACTGCGGCATGGCCACTCCGAGCGAGAGGGCCAGATACAAGGTCTGGCCCACGCCAGAGACAATGGCCAGCGTTGCCCAGAAGACCAGCAGCAGGCCTCTCTTGGAGACGTACTTACGCCAGCCGATCTTGGCCGGGTTCTCCACCACACCAAAGGTGGCATTCGGCCCGATGCTAGCCCGATCAGACCTCGAGGTGTGCGACGAGGCCGACGACGCCTTGCGCCGCGCTGGGCTTCCACCGTTCCCACCGCTCCCACCGCCGAGCGCAGGCGACATGCCTCCGTCCGGAGATTGAATGCTACCACCGAGAGGGTGCCGACCCGCTCCATTCGGACCAGGACCATGTCGTCCCGATGCCGCCAGAGACAACGTCGCCGCAGACGACATGCCTGGTCCACGGCCACCACCGCCACCGCCGCCCGCCGCCAGTTGAGCCAACAACGACGAGCTGTCGCCAGCCTCACGCTCATGTGTTCCCGAGCGCACACGCACAGACATGCTCTCCCTCCTCTACGTCACGTGTATGGTCTTCTTGAAAAGTCGCTTGCGCGAGGGGGAGGGGGGGAGCGCAGTGAGCGCCGAATGACGCCACCAGTGGGATCGAGCTCGTGCCGTCTTTTTTCACCCACATGTTTTTCCCCCCTCCGCTCCATTCCCGCCCGCAAGTGTGGCTGTTTGTGGCCATTGCGGCTCGGCATGTGCTTGATTGGGGTGTGTGGCTGGTATGGGGGTTGTAGAAGGGGTCAGTCATGAGAAATGGTACATTGATCGGCGTTGGGAACTGGCTTGTGTGTAGAGAGTGACGGCGGCGGCTTGGTCACGTGACTGCTGCAGTGATGAGCGTCGCGAGCGCGTGGTCCCACGGCTGTAGTTGCACTGATCATAGTTGAGCAGATCATGCGAAAAGGTTACATGCTGGCGAGCTTGTGGCACAGCAGTCCTGGTGCGCACTGCGGTCGTGAAACTGTTCCTGTACCGAGCTCAATGCTCTTGGCAAGGTTGCCCGCTGACCAGGTCCCATGGTTTCCAACGCCGCAACTTGGCCTTCCCTTCCACCCCCCCCCCACCCCCCCCCCCCACCCCCCCAAACAAACCCAACATCCCCTCCCCCCCCAGGTCCTTCCCCCCCATCCCCAAACTCGATCGAGTGTGCCACAGTTCGAGAGCTAACCCTCCACAGCGAGTTGATATGAAAAATTTTCTTCCAGTCACGCTTTCCGCAACCTGCCTTGATAAACGAAGCGGCAGAGCGGCGAGAAGAGGGCGGCGAGTCGGTCGGTTGTTGGGCGGGAATTTTTGCGCGAGCGACGAGCGGTGGACGTGGTGGGGAGGGGGGGGAAGGGAATGGAGAGGCTACCACTGCTCGCTGTGCAGGAGAGTAATCGTGGATATGTACACTTCGTATTCTTCATACTCTGACGATGACGAGTTTGAAGAGGAGGGGACTGTAGTGCTGGGAAGTGAGCCAGCAACGGGTGTTCCCGCCCATGGGAGTGGTGGGCGTGGCGGCGCGTCGTCAGCTGCGCGTTTGAGCGGTCGCAAGCGACGTGCGACACCAAAGGCTGCAGCTGCAGCAGCTTCTGGAGAAGAGCGCGACGTCAAGCGGAAGGAGTTGCTCGACACTAGTGTGGTCACTATGGGCGCTGCGCTGGCACCTGGTGACAACTATGCTGCCGTGGTCCAGGCCTTGCGTCATGGCGCCTCGGATGAGCATGCCAACGATTTGCTGGCGGCCATGAAGGCTATGGTGGCTGATGAGATCCGCGACGAGGTGATAGCTCAGGTGAGGGCCGAGGTGGAGGCAAGCTGCAAGACAAAGATGACGCAGATGAGCAGGAAGATGAAGAAGTTGAAGACGCGGTACAAGAGCCTCAAAGACGAGGTCGCCCAGATGCGTCCGGTCTACTCGGCTTCGCTCACCTTTGCCGACCAGATCCGCCGCGCTGTCAACCTCGACTGGAGCTCGGTCGGTGGAAGTGGAGACGGCTACGAGGCGAGCGGTGGGAGTGGTGACCGGGGCGGCGCAGGAGCTGCTACCAAGCCGCGGGCCTCGTCGGGCTCTGCTGCTCCTCAGCAGCAAGCCGAGGCGCACGGGACTCCGATGGCAATGACAGCGCCGGCGGTGACGGCTGACGACGCGGTCCAGGTCATGAGTAGCGAATCTCGTGCCGCCAAGCCGGTCGTCCTCCCTTCGGGCTTTGGCAACACAGCGGCACTGCTGACGCAGACATGGGCTGGCGACGGCTTTACCCACGAGGACAAGACTCGCCGCATCTTTGTCTCGGGCGTCATTGCCGCCTCGCTCCGCTGGGCTGTTGCCCGTATTGCGCACCGCAACAACGGTGACCTCTACGACTACATCTGCGCGGCCGAGGGCGGCTGGAAGCTCCGCAACCGCAAGCCGAGCATGAAGGACGCCCGTGACCTGCTCGACGCCGCTGGCATCCGCGACGACGTCATTGCCGAGCTTGGCCTCTATGGCGGCTTTCCGGAGCAGACCGAGGTCCTCGCCGCCATCGGTGCCAGCGTGGTGTACGGTACTAACCCGGTCCGCACGGTCAGCCCCGTTGGCCCGTGGGCAGAGTGCGGCGCCTACACCCGTCTCGTCGGCCTTGTCCGCGCTGTGATCAACAAGGCTCTGGGCCGGACGACCATCAACTGGTACACCGTTCTCTACAACAACGGCCTCCCCGTAGATATGGTCATTGCCACCTCGTGCAACCCCGACTGGGGCGTCGCGCTCACGCCCTCAGTGACCTCGTACACAGCCTAGAACCTGGCGTCGATGTAAAGTATTGGCTTGCCGTTGGCCCCACATCGGTTGGCAGCCGTAGTTGTGATCGGCAGCCGTAGTTGTGATCGGCAGCCGTAGCTGTGATCGGCAGCCGTAGTTGTGATCGACTGCGCCCGTCCATCGTCGTGTCATTTGCCGACTCGAGTGACCGCTGCCGCATGTCACGCTTGCTCAACCAGCAGCAGCAGCAGCAGCACCAGCAACAGCAGCAGCACCAGCACCAGCACCAGCACCAGCAGCACCACCACCTGACCCAGCCACCCTTCGAAGCTCTTCTATTCGTATGGACTGGTTCCGAAGCCGACTGCGTAGTTGGGGCACTCACGAGACCGGGAGCGGGGAGAAGGACAAGGCAAGACATGGCGAGGCTCGGGTGGTGGAAGCACAGCAAGCGGCTGCTGCTGCTGCTGCTGCTGCTGCTGCTGCTGCTGCTGCTGATGGTGGTGGTGGTGGGGACGGACAAAAGGCGCCTGGTCCACGCGGGATTGGCGCTGATGGCATGGTGGTGCCCGAGTCGGAACGAGTGGCCGAGGTGGCATTCTGGGCTGCGTATGGACCGGCCAATGGCAATCCCTTTGTCCATCTGCGCACGGATGAGCCGTGTGTTCCTCGCAAGAACGATCTCTGGCTCAAGATGACCACCTTTTCTTCTTCAAGACGTCGCAAGCGCCGTAAGAGGCATCACGGCGTCGCTTCAAAGCGAGGTGAGTTTGTCAAGGATGTCACGAAGAAGAAGAACAAGAAGAGCAAGTCAGCCCATGGCGCTGGCAAGCCGGCTGTCCGATCAGGCTCGGGCTGGCTCGCTGGCCCGCCCATCTTTCGCAGGCAGGCTCTGTCGTCGCCTATTCGCCACGAGGAGGCCGTCGAGTCAGCAGAGCTAGTTGCTGCGGCAGATGCGAGCGATGGCGGTGGTGACGGTGGTGGCCGCAACGACAATGACGCCAACAACAGCAGTGCCAGCACCGACGCCTGGCTCCCGCATCCGGTCCCTAGCACGCGAAGACGAACAGGAACTGCGCGATCGGCGCGCGAGGCGGCGAGTCTGATCCTGGAGCGGCAGGGCGTGGCGTCGAGCGATGGAACCGGCGTGGCGTCGAGCGATGGAACCGGCGTGGCGTCGGGCGATGGAGCCGACGAGGCGTCAGTCCATGAGGGAAAGGGTAAAATGTGACAAGAGAGGGAGAGAACGAGAGGCTGTGTGTGTGTGTGCACATGTGTGTGTGTCTTCAATCAGCGGCGGCGCTTGGAGGAGACGTTGATCCAGTGCGAGGCGCGGGCAACAGCGTAGAGAAGGGCGATGGAGAAGGCAAAGCAAGTGGTGACCGAGACGCCATGAACAGTACCAGCGATGACGATAGCAGCAAAGAGAGAGATGGCAGCCTCAGCCCAAGAAGCCTCATGCGAGGAGCCCAAGACGATGACGGCGACGTTGCCCAGGACGAGGAAGCCGAGGACTGTGAGAATAGCGCAGATAAGACCAGCAAGAATGGTCAGCGGAGGAGAGGCAGCCAGTGTCTCGGCATAGATCTGGAGGAAGGAGAAGAGAATGCCATAGATCAGCGATCCCAGCACCACTGTCGACTGAGGTGTTTGCGCTGTATTGCCATGGCGATGGCGATCAAGATCGCCATCGTGATCGCGATCGTGATCAACGAGGGTGGTAACGAGGGTCAGTGAGAAAAGTGGAGATGGGGTTGAGGGCCGAAGACATGGGATAGAAGATGAATATGTGAGTATGTGCATGTGTGTGTGTGTGGGTGGTATGTATCTTGCTCCATGGCTTGCCCATGCCCACAACTCCCTCCCAGGTCACTCGGACAGAACCCGCCGCCGTCGGTGACATGAATTTGTAGCAGGCGACGAGCAGCAGCGCGGGAACCACTAGGGCTGAGGTGGGGTCAGAGCCAGGACCAGGGCCAGGGCGGGCTAGCAGCAGCCAGCAAGAGGCAGCAGAGGTACAGGCAGAGATGGGAGCATGCAGCACTGGAGGGACTAAGGGGTATGTGGGGAGATTGCTGACTTACCCATGACCACTCGTGTCTTGGAAACAAGTACTGCCGCCGCTCGCACAGACGGGTTCACACTCGCCGTCGCCCACTACCGCCTTGCCCGCTACAGCTTGATCGGGCGCGGAGTTGATGAGATAGGGATGGGGATGAGTGATCGGAGGCAAAGTGAGGGTGCGGACGGCGTGTGGAGGAGGGCAGACTGGTGGGGATAGAGTCGAGGGAGGTGCTCTCTGTGGCATCTGGCGAGGTGCGATCGGCGGCTGTGTTGATGGGATGGGGATGGGGAAGGGGGACAGAACTCGACCTGCAGCATTGTCACCGGCACCGTAGACTAGGCAGCAGCTCTGCTGACAGGCAATGGCATCATCGCCATGTTCTTTCTCTGAACATCGTTTCACATGCCGCCCCGCATCGCATTCCAAGAACCGCCCGCCTGGCCGGGTAGCGCCAGCTGACAGCGAGCGAGAGAGTAGAGAGGACGATCAGCGCTCTCAACGCGCATCCTACGCTTCCTAGACCAATCCAAGCCATGCATTGTCCCACCAAAGTCTTAAACCAAGTGTTCAACACGCTACGCAGTGGCTCCCATCTGGCGATAGTCCAGACGAGAGCGAGAGCTGCAAGCTCTACCTCACGGCTCTTGCCACTGCCAGCTGTCGATGTGTGAGACAAGGATCACGGCAGCCTGGACCCGACATCGCCGGCACGCCCGAGCCGATCACATCGATTGGATGACGGCGATATAAGCCAAGTACCACCATGGCTGTTTGGGCAAAGATGTGGCTGATGGGCGTGACGGACTGTCGGCGACTGCTCCAAGGCGGAGCAATGATTGCGAGTGGCTGGCCGAGTAACCTTAACCGGACACACTCAGCTCTCGGCACGCCTCGCACCTTTAGACTCTAAAAAGGATGGAGGATCATGAGTATGTGTACGAGTATACTGAGGAGAGCGGATCATCATGGGGATCCTCATGGGACCTTGAAGAACGTCCTTCTTTCCGCGAGCGTCAGCCAGGAAGTCCCTCGGCTGTGCCCTCGGTAGCTTTGCTTGAGGCTTCCAACGACAACTCGGCCTCGGACAACATGCCAGCTACCTCGCACCAACCTCTGGCTGGCAGCCCGAGGAGAAGAAAGCTCAGCTAGGTATGTGTCATGTCTCTTCTCCCTTCTCTTCTCTTCCCCACATACCATTGCCCATCACTAACTCTCCCTCTCCCTCTCTCCTGCCTCTCCTGTATACCTGCCGTCCCACCCCTCACCCCCTCCCCCGTGTGATCTTGATCTTGATCATGATCATGATCAACGACTTGTTGTTGTCTCGACTCGACTGGCTCGGTCTCATTCCGACCATCACCGCCACCAATCCGCCTTTCCAACTCTCGACCTCTCTGGATTTTTGCTCTGCGGTGGTTGGTATGGCTATGGATATGGCTATGGCGTCGCTGGTGGCGATGGCTCCTCCTCTTGCTACTGATTGTCGCATAACTGTTGCTGGTCGTGGCGGATGTGGTGGATGTGGTTTTCTTTCCCCCTCCCTCCTCTCTCTCTCCTCGTCCTGTCGCCATGCACTTTCATGGATTGCTGCATTTGCCTACGTCTGCTGTCTGCTGTTGACATAGCTCCGGCTGCGTCGCCCAACGTGTGGTCAATCTACGACACGCTCGAGGCGCCACCCAAGTTTGATGCTTACCGCACTGGCGGCCGTCGCCGCAAGCCGCTCTCCGAGTTTAAGAACATGTCGACGATGCAGAAGAAAGAGGCTGCGTCGTTGGCGTCGCAGCTCAAGGCTGCACTCGAAGGCGAGGGCGTGAACGAGGTGCCCGAGGACGAGAATGTGCCCATCATCGACGTCGGCGACGCCGGCGCCGATCCCTTGGATTCGAGCTCTAAGCTTGGTTGGGCCAAGGGCGTGCTCATCCCGTGCCTGCTCAACATTTGGGGCGTGATCATGTTCCTCCGGCTCGGTTGGTGTGTCGGCTTTGCTGGCGCGGGGCAGATGACCGTCATCATCCTCCTCGCCGGCGTAGTGACGACGCTCACAACGCTCTCGCTTTCGGCCATTGCCACCAACGGCGAGGTTAAGGCCGGTGGCGCATACTTTCTCATTTCGCGCAACCTCGGCCCGGCGTGGGGCGGCTCCATCGGCGTCATTTTCTCATTTGCCAACGCCGTCGCCGTTGCCATGTACATTGTCGGCTTTGCTGAGACCCTCACCGACATCTGGGGCTGGAAGGACCATCCGTTTGGCTCGAACGCGCTCCGGGTCGTCGGCTTTGTCACCCTCATCATCCTCTTTGCCATGTGCCTCTACGGCGTGGGCTGGATCGCCAAGCTTCAGGTTGGCTTGCTTGTTGTCCTCGTTGCTGCCATGGGCTCGATGATTCTCGGCGCGCTCATTTCGGGCGCGTGGGGCGCCAAGCCGTCGTCTGGTTTTGTTGGCATCGACAAGGCCAAGCTTGTCGCCGGAGCCGACTATGGCTCCGAGTCGTTCTTCTCCATTTTTGCCATTTTCTTCCCGGCCGCGACCGGCATCATGGCTGGCGCCAACATCTCGGGTGATCTCAAGCGGCCATCGGCCGCCATCCCCAAGGGCACCCTCCTCGCCATTGGCATTTCGACGGTGGTGTACATCGGGATGGTGTGGATCATTGCCGCCGTTTCGACCCGCGAGAAGCTCAAGACCAACACGCTCATCATGATGGACATATCTGTGGCGGGCCCGGTCATTGTGGCCGGCATCTTTGCGGCCACGCTCTCGTCTGCGCTGGCTTCGCTTGTTGGCGCGCCGCGGGTGCTGCAGGCGGTTTGCCGCGACCAGCTCATTCCCGCGCTCAACATGTTTGGCAAAGGCCGGCGGTCAGACGACGAGCCGATTCACGGGTACATCCTTGTCTTCTTTGTGGCGGTGGCGTGCATCTCGATCGGCGACCTCAACGCCATTGCCTCGCTCATCTCGCAGCTCTTCCTCCTCTCGTATGGCTTTGTCAACTACGCCACCTTTGCCATGGCGTACTCCAAGCCTCTGGGATGGCGGCCGGGCTTTGTGTACTACCACTGGAGCACGGCGGCGTTTGGCGGCATCCTCTGTCTCGGCGTGATGTTCCTTGTCGACTGGACCTTTGCTCTTGTTGCCTTTGTCATCTGTGGCCTGCTCTACGCGTACATCTCGTACCGCGACCCGGACGTCAACTGGGGCTCGGTCAACCTCGCGCGGGTGTACTCGCGGGCGGTCCGAGCCAACATTGCGCTGCAGGCCCAGGAGCCGCATGTCAAGAACTGGCGCCCGCAGGTCCTGCTCCTCACTGGGGACTTTGCCGCCCGCCTCGCTCTCGTCAAGCTCACTGCGTTCTTCACCGAGCAGGGCGTGCTCTTCCTGGGCAACATCATCATTGACGACGCCATCAACGACGCCCACAACGACGAGATCGAGGCCGCGGCGGACTGGGTCGTTGCCCACAACGTCCGCGCCTTCTCAGACGTCACCATTGCGCGCTCCTTCCGCCGTGGTGTCCGTCACTTTATGCTTGTCTCGGGCCTCGGCCGCGCACTCCGGCCCAACACCCTCGCCATGGGTTTCCGCCACACCTGGCATGACGACGCTGCGGCGTCGCTCGAGTACGTTAACGCCATCCGCGACGCCATGGACAAGAAGCTCGGCCTCATGATCATCCGCAATGCCAACCTCGTCGACTTTACTGTTCCCACCTCGGACCCCATCGATGTGTACTGGCTCGAGGACGACGGCGGCTTCACGGCCATGATGCCGTACATTCTCTCGCGGTCGCACCTCTTCTCCAACGCGCCCATCCGTCTCTTCTCCAAGATCATCTCGCCCGACGCCACCGACGCCGACGACGAGAAGGAGCAGCTCGCCCTGCTCATGCGCAAGCTCCGGATCACCACCTCGGAAATCAACCTGCTCACCACGCTCGGCGCGACGCCCAACCCGGCAACGACCGAGTGGTATGCCCGCTACGAGCTGCTGACCAGGGCGCGGGCCCAGTCCTTCCTCGACGCCCGCGTCTGGGCCGAGGGCGACGAGCCGCTCACCGTGGAGGAGCTCGAGCAGTACCAGCAGTCTTGGACCGACTACTACCTCCGGCTCGGCGAGCTCATCCACCAGAACTCGGCCAACGCGTCGGCCGTCTTTGTCTCGCTCCGCATTCCCGACAACAACGACTCGGCGCTGATGTACATGTCGTGGCTGGAAGCCATCTCGCACGGCATGGAGTGCCCGTTCTTCTTTGTTCGCGGCTCGCACGAGAACGTTGTCACTCTCGAAGCGTAAACGCGGCGCTGTTCCGCATCTGCTGCGCTTTACTTTGCCCGCTGCTGGTTCTTAAACCGGACAACGAGCGAGCCGGTGCCGGTCGACCACCCGTTGAGCGCTGCAATAGCCATCTGCGAGGCCGGCTGCGGCGGCTCGTACCGCACAAAGCCGTAGCCCTTGGAGACACCGGTCTTAAAGTCGATGATGAGTCGGCAGTGCACAATGTTGCCGTACGGCGCAAAGAGGGCGCGGAGGTCAGCCTCGCTCACCGCCGGCGGGAGGTGGGCGACGTAGAGCGAGTCGCGCTCGCGCGTCTTGTCGGCGGCGCCCTTGCCTCCGCGGGCGTTGTGCTGCGGGCGCCCGTGCTGTTGCTGCGGCGCCCACGCCATGCCCTGGGGCTGTTGCGGCGGCGGCGCGGCATAGCCGCCTCCCGGAGGCATCATGTGTTGCTGGCCGTGCGGCGGCATGGCGATACCCGGCGGCGGCGGAGCGAACGCCATGGGCGGCTGCGGCTGCTGCGGGGCGGGGTAGCCCATTGGGCCGGGCGGGAGCGGATGCGGCGGCGGGTGCGGTGGCGCCTGCATGCCCATGTGATGCGGCGGGCCGGGCGGTCCTGGCGGGCCGGGCGGTGGCATGTTCGGGCGGCCCATGTGATGATGTGGCATGGCTGGCGGTGGCATGTAGCCCGGCGGGGGCATGGCCATGTGCGGCGGACCGTGAAGTGGCGGACCGCCCATGGGCGGGCGGAGGTGCGGCGGTGGTGGGCCGTGGAACCCGGCGTGGCCGGCGCCGGGGCGGGCGTACGGGTGGGCCCGCGCGTTGCCTGGCGCGCGCATCTTGCCGCCGCCGCGCTTGCGGCGGGCCGACCGGCTCGCCCGCTCTTGGCGCTCGGCCTCCTTGGCGCGCGCCTTTTCGCGCTTGGCGGCCTCGGCCTGGGCGAGCTTGAACTCGCCGTAGTTGACGGCTTGCGCCACCGCAATCGGCGGGGACGTCTCCAGCTCGACCTTGCCGGCGACCAGGCCGGCCAGCGCGGCGGCGGCGTGCTCGGCCGTGGCAAATGTGACAAGAAGGTGGCGGACGACTCCGCGGCTCATACCTGGCTTGTCGTCATCAAAGGTAATGCTGAGCACCGGTGCATGCGGCGCGATGACAGCCTCAAGCGCCTTGATCACCGCTTCGTTGTCCGGTATCGCCTCCACCACCACCATGTCAGCCTGTGATTCTCCAGCGGTGGACTCGGGCTCGGGTTCGGTAGCGGGCTCGGGCTCGGGCTCGGTGGCGGGCTCGGACTCGGGCTCGGGCTCGGTAGCGGGCTTGGGCTCGGGCTCAGTGGCGGGCTCGGACGCGGGCTCGGGCTCGACAGCGGGCGCCGGGGCGTCTGCCGCAGGGACGGGCAGAGCAGCGGACACGTCGTCGTCGACAGCCTCGGCCATCGGCGCAATCTTGCTCTCGCTGTCGTTTTCGGCAGCGGTGTCGGCAGTGGTGGAAGTGGCGTTGCTGTCCGCGGTGGCGGTTTTGTCCGAGTTGGCAGCCGTGGAGCGGTTGGCGGGCGGGACTGGGATGACCAGCGAGAGTCTCAGGACAGAGCGGGCGGCGAGCACATCCAAGCGAGTCTTTTCTCCAGACGCATACTCGATGACCATATCTCCAGTTGTGCACGGAATGGTGGTACCTGCGAGAGCATCGATGGCCATATCGGCCTTGTCGACCGACTCGAGCCACACAAATGCGGATCCTGTGCGTCAATGAGATGTGCAGATGTGTTCACGTCGCATCGGCCCAGCGAGTTAGCCCCGCGAGTCGACCCAGCGAGTTGACCCAGCAAGTCGCGTTGATTGGTCGAGTCGGCCGAGTCATGAGCGAGTCGCATTGATGTGTTCGCGTCGGTCGTGTTGGTGGTATTGGTGGTGTTGGTGGTATTGGTGGTGTTGGTGGTGTTGGTGGTGTTGGTGGTGTTGATCGTGTTGGTGGTGTTGGTGGTGTTGGTGGTGTTGTCCGGGTAGTTGACGGTCATCGGTTGGGAGACGGACGGAGGGAGGAGGGGGAGGGGGGAGGGAAACAGGGTGAGTATATGAGGAATACGAAGAGTATGCAAGATAAAGACAGAGGGCATGTAGAGGAAAGACATAAGTAGCTACGCATGTAGTTTGTATGGAAATAGAGTCGGTATTGAGTACGTACCCGAGAGATTGCCAGGAGTCTGGTTCCGTGACGGCCGCTGTCGGCGAAGGAGCTCAACCTTGAGGCAACCATAGTCATTCAAGGCATGGCTAATGCCGGTCACAAGCTCTTCCTCACTCTGCGTAGCAATGGCAAGCGGTTTGATAAATAGCTTGACGGCACTCTCGCTCACTTTCTCAGACTCGTCCATCTAGCCCCCGCCACGAGTCACGTCTGTCTGTCTGTCCCCCCTCCCTCTCTGTCTTGCCGCCTTGCCGTCTTGCCGCCACCCTCCGCCGCCCTCCCGCCATGCTCACACAACATCCATTCCGGATATCTCCCTGTTGTTGTCTCTTAGCAAGCGTGTTGGCCAGTTAGCTAGCCAGAAGATCGGTTGGTCTGTCTGGTGATCGGTCTGTGTCTCTGTCTGGTGATCGGTTTGTGTCTGGTGATCAGTCTCTGTCTGGTGATCAGTCTCTGTCTGGTGATCAGTCTGTGTGTGGTGATCGGTCTCTGTCTGGTGATCAGTCTCTGTCTGGTGATCAGTCTGTGTCTGGTGATCAGTCTCTGTCTGGTGATCAGTCTGTGTCTGGTGATCGGTCTCTGTCTGGTGATCGGTCTGTGTCTCTGTCTGGTGATCGGTTTGTGTCTGGTGATCAGTCTCTGTCTGGTGATCAGTCTCTGTCTGGTGATCAGTCTGTGTGTGGTGATCGGTCTCTGTCTGGTGATCAGTCTCTGTCTGGTGATCAGTCTGTGTCTGGTGATCAGTCTCTGTCTGGTGATCAGTCTGTGTCTGGTGATCGGTCTCTGTCTGGTGATCGGTCTGTGTCTGGTGATCAGTCTCTGTCTGGTGATCAGTCTCTGTCTGGTGATCAGTCTGTGTCTGGTGATCGGTCTCTGTCTGGTGATCAGTCTCTGTCTGGTGATCGGTCTGTGTCTGGTGATCGGTCTGTATCTGGTGATTGGCCAGCCAACCAGCCGCCCTCCCTCCCCCCCCTCCCCCTCCCCTCCCCCCCCCTCCCCCTCCCCTCCCCCCCGCCCACCCCCCACACGTGACTCTACAAGGAAAACAGGATGAGCAGGGTACTTCCTGAAGACAGCCATGGCCTTGTGCTGTACACGTATGGAGGAGCATGGGGACTGCCTACCTTCTCCCCGCACTGCATGCATGTCCTTGCTTACGTCCGCTTTGCCGGTCTGGAGGAGAACGAGCTCAAGGTGATGACCTGTGGCAATCCGGCTCTGTCCCCCTCGGGCAACTTGCCTTTTCTGAGAGATGGTGAAGTGCTGGTGGCTGGTGCAGACAACATCATTGCTTATCTTAAGCGTCGTGGTCACAATCTCGACTTTAAGCTCGCTCCGGAAGAGATGGCTGATGTCCTCGCCTACTCTGCCATGGTCAAGAACGAGCTCTTTACAGCAATGATGCACTCGTGGTGGAACGAGGAGGAGAACTACCAGGTCGTCAAGTCCTTGTATGCCTCTTCCCTTCCTTTCCCGCTCTCTTGGATCTTGCCCAAGCAGATGCAGGATGCTGTTCAGGCTGGTCTTGGCGCCATCGTCCATGCTGAGGATCTCTCCACTGCTCGTCTCTCTGAAGTGCCAGACGTTGATGCCGATGCCCTCTACGCTCGTGCAAACGCCATCTACATTGCCCTCGCTGCCCGCCTCGGTGACTCGGAGTACTTTTTCGGGCCCACACCGTGCTCGCTCGACACCATCATCTTCTCGCATCTGCTGCTCCAGTACCTGGCTCCGCTGCCAAACGCCCGCCTCTCGAGCATGATCCGCACACACCCGAATCTCGTCTCCTACCTCACCCGCCTCGCCTCCGAGTACCTCGGCATGGACATGATGGCATCTCCTGCCTTTGCCATGCCTTCTCCCGTCCGCGTCCGCATGGCGTCCTCGCCCTCGCCGCAGAAGCGCCGCCGTGCTGCCGACCCGCCCAAGCCCGAGCGCGCCGGTGCAGCGGCCGGCGACAACGACGACGACGAGGAGGAAGACTCGGCTGCTGCCTTTTCTCCTCGCCCGAGTTTAAGCGCCGCTCCCGCCTCTACATCGGCCTCGGCCTCACCGCCGTCGTCGGCTACGTCACCTTTTACCTCGGCGGCGGTGTCCTCACCTCGTTCCGTGGCCCGCGGCGTCGCTAAACCCATCATCAATCACCATCTCCCTCCCTGCAACCGTCCTTCTCACCTACCACCCGTCATTCCTCCCTCCTCCCCCTTCCCCCGGATCTCCCGTTGCACGCCTCATTCCTCCCTCGCCGCCAGCCGCCCACCGCCCACCGCCCGCCAGTGCAGCGAGACATACTTGACCCCCCCCCCCCCCCGAGCAGCATGTCGAGCGAGAACAACAACGCAGCGAGTGCCGCAGCAGCCGACGAGATCGAGAGGAAGAATGCCAAGCCTGGGACAGAGGCTCAAGTTGCTTTGGCGTTGTTTGCCGCTGTGACGGGCATGAATCTCTCTGCCGTCGACCAGTCCGAGAACATCTCGTTGGCAGTGACCGAGTTGGATTCGTATGACGATCGCAACTTTAAGATCACCATCACCACCAAGTCCGAGACAACATCCACTACGACAGCGACGACGACGGCATCCGAGTCGGGATCAGGTTCCATGTTGCCAGGGCTGGGTTCTCTCGTCTCTGAGGGTTGCTACGTGCTCAAGGTCCACAATGGCGTCGAGTCGTCGCCCAAGGGCCTTCCGCTGCTTCATGCTCAGAACGCAGTGCTGGATCATCTGGCAAGCTCTGGGTTTGCTGTCCCGGTTCCGATCCGCCTCGCCGAGGTGGACACGGCGAGCAGGGCTGGATGGCCGGTCGGCGACGCCGATGCCGCTGCTCGCCGGGCGGCGTTTGACGTCGGCGCTGCGCGGGCGGCGTACGACGACGGCGCCGAGGACGGCGGCAAGCTTCGGCTGGTGCCGCTGGAGAGCAAGGATGGGCGCGTGCGGCTGCACGCCGTCCGGGTTCTCACCTGGGTTGATGGCGTCCTGCTCGCGGACAAGGTTGATGCTGGATCGCCGGGCTTTCTGGCGCTGCTCAACAAGGTGGGTGCGACGCTTGGCCGGATGGATGTTGCGCTGGCATCGTTCTCGCATTCGGGCGCAGTGCGGACGCATCTGTGGGACCTGGCTTCGCTGCCGCAGCTTGAGGTCTTTGTCGACCACATCAGCGACGCGGACAATGCTGCCCTGGCCCGGCGAGTCTACGCTGACTTTGCGGCGCAAGTGCTCCCGGTCGCCGACTCGCTCTCGAGCCTCACACTCCACAACGACGCCAACGATCAGAATGTGCTGGTCAACACCGAGGGGACCGAGGTTGTGGGCGTCATCGACTTTGGCGACATGGTCTACTCGAAGCGGGTCTACGAGCTCGCCATTCTCATGGCCTACACCATGCTCCCATCGCGGGCGCTCCTCGATGATGCGAGCCACACCGATGAGGCAGAGTCGGCGCGGCTAGTTGCTGCTGCGCACGCCGTGTACACCGGGTACGCCGACGCTGTCGCGGACTCGGCGCCCATCACCGATCTCGAGCGCTCGCTCCTCTTTACCCTTGTCCGCTCGCGACTGGCCCAGTCGGTCACCATGTCTGCCTACTCCTTTTCCAAGGATCCCACCAACGAGTACCTGCTCGTCACCGCGCGTCCCGGCTGGAACACTCTCCGCCTCCTCGAGGCTCTTGGTGCCGAGCCGTTTACCGCCGCCCTCCAGTGATGTGCCGCCGCCCTTTCAATGATCACGCCGACCATGATCTCGCCGACCATGATTGATCACCACGTCAACCACCACCACCATCACGCCAACCACTACCACCATTGGCAATATCATCAAAACCCATCTCCCTTCCCCTGGTACCCCTCGTAGCCCTCGCCCATGGCTCACGCTTCAAAAATTCGGAACAATCCAGCTCTTGACGATGGCGATCATGATCACGATCACGATCATGATCACCCCCCACTCCCGCCACCACCTCACTCACCCCCCCCCCCACCCCACCCCCGACCCCATCCCACGTACACCCTACTCAACCACACAAGTGTGTCTGGGTCCCCTTCCTCGCTCGATTTTGTCAGAAGAGCTCTGAAGGATGAGCCAGAGACGGCCGTTCATGACGGCCAACATCCCGCAACGAACGCCGCTGGAAGAGACGCTTGTGGTCCATCCGACGGCTGAAGAGTTTGCTGATCCGCTGGCGTACATTGCATCGATTGCTCATGTGGGAAGAGAGTATGGCATTGTTCGCGTCGTTCCGCCGGATTCCTTCAAGCCGCCCTTTTGTTTCCCTCCGGATGCCGTCTTTCCTACTCGCTCGCAACAACTGGGTCAACTCCAGCGTCGCTCGGGTCCCTCGACCGTCTTTCTGGACAAGATTCGTGTCTTTCATGCCGCCCGTGGTCGCTCGCTGCCTACCACTACAGAGCATGGCAAAACTCGTCTGACACTGCCCATTGTTGATGGTTCGGAACTGGATCTGTTCTCCCTCTTTCGCACCGTCGTCGCCGCTGGCGGGCCAGCTGCTCTCGATGCTGATCCGGCCGGCTGGCGCAAGCTCGCGGATACCATGGCGCTGCACTCGACGTCGGCGGCGGTAGAAATTCGCCACTGGTACGGGATCTACCTCGCTGAGTATGTCAGGGCCTACTGCACTGTGATTGCCGCTGACAAGGCGGCGGCCCAGGAGCGGCGACGCAACAAGCGCGACCGGTCCGGCTCGGCATCCGGCTCGGCCTCTCCGCCTGGAGTCGAACCGGGCGCCAAGCGAGCCAAGGGCCTTGGCGGCGAGGTGCTGGTCAACGCACCCGCAACGGCGGCGCTGGCATCGGCCGACGGCGACGCCGGGAACGCGTGGATCAAGCTGCCGCGCGACGCCAGCGGCGCTGTGGCGCTCGACGAGCGCGCCTTTGAGCTCGAGTCTGCCAACTGCTCGGTGGCCGAGACCAAGGCTGCTGCCAAGTTTGCGTTCCGGACCGGCGGTGACTACACGCTTACCTCATTCCGGGCCATGGACGTGGAGCGGCGCGAGCGGCTGTTTGGCCGCTCGCGGTCGCTCTCGATTCCCGAGCTGGAGAGCATGTTCTGGAAGGTCATCGAGGACGGGACGATGATGATCGACGCCGAGTACGGCGCCGACCTCGACGTGCGCCAGTACGGCTCCGGGTTTCCCAAGCACGGGCCGTACGGCTCGTCGGGCTGGAACCTCAACGTCATGCCGACGCTCCCGGGCTCGCTCCTCTCGCTGCTGGAGGACGACATTGTGGGCGTCACTATTCCGTGGTTCTACGTCGGCTCGACGCTCTCCACCTTTTGCTGGCATACCGAAGACAACTACCTGTACTCGATCAACTACCTTCACCTCGGCATGCCCAAGATCTGGTACGGCATCCCATCGTCGGGCGCAAGCGCGTTTGAAAACGCCATCCGCACCCGCCTCTCACACGAGTTTGAGGCCGCGCCCGAGCTCATCCACCACCTCACCACCCAGATGTCGCCGTTTGAGCTCCGCGACGCCGGCGTCCCGGTCTACCGCACCACCCACCATCCGGGCCAGTTTGTCATCACCTTTCCGCAGGCCTACCACGCCGGCTTCAACGCTGGCTTCAACGCCGCCGAAGCCGTCAACTTTGCCCTCCCTGACTGGCTCCCGTTTGGCTACTCGGCCATTCTCAAGTACGCGCCCATCAAACGCGAGCCGATCTTTGCCTTTGAGCATGTCGCCCTCAAGGTCGCCGTTCGCCATGGCCGCGCCCTCTCGCTCAAGCAGCGGGCCATGCTCGCCGAAATCCTCGACGACGCTGTCTCTCGCGAGGAGCGGCTGCGAGAGGCCGTTGTCGCCGAGCTCGATACTGACTTTGTTCTCGACTACGGCCCGACCAACGTCCTTTTCACCTCGCCGGCCCTCGCCTCGCGCTCCAAGCCGGCCCAGGATCCCGACGACGAGGAGTTTTGCTCTATCTGCAAGCGCTTTGTCCCGTTCTCGCTCGTTTACTGCGGCACAAACTCGCGGGTCATCTGCCCCGAGCACCACTCGTTCTCCAGCCACCCGTTCAAGCAGCCGGTCGCCCGCTATGCCATTGCTGACCTCAAGCGCGTCGTCGCCTCGCTCCGCGACACGCCTGCTGATGCTGCTCATCGCGCCGCCGTGGCTGCCGAGGCCGAGGTTGACGCTAATGCTGTTGCTGTGGCTGCAACCAGTGACGGGCTCAAGCCCATGGCTGGCGTCAAGCCCGAGCCAGAGGCCAAGACTGCTTTGCCGGAGCACACTGCTACAGGCAGTCTGGCGCCGATGGACCTCGCTCTGGCGTCGGCTCGCTCTCCTCCTTCGCCGCCCCTCCAGTCCCAGCCGGCACCTGCGCCGACGTCTCCACCTGCACCTGCGCAAGCGCCAGCGGTCATGCAGGCGCCCAAGGCCTCTGGGCATCCCACGCTTGTACCAAGCATCATCGACATCAAATAAGCACCCCCCCCCACCCTCCTTCCGCCCCCCCCTTGCTGCCCGCTCGCTTTCAGCCCGCTTTTAGCCTGTTTCTTCTCCCGAAACTCTGTCGTGCGCGTGCCGAGACCGAGACGGGCACGAGTGCCACGGGAACAACGTTTTGCTTCGCCAAAGACGACCTCTGTCTTGGCCCCCTCCTCCCCCCCCTCTCCACACCCACCACTCCTTAGACATCTTCACTTCTCTCTCTCGCTTTCTCCACCGTATGTATCTCTTTCATTACCCCTCTTCCTTCTACCCTTTCCCTCTGCACCCCCTACCACCACCGTCCTTGCTACCGTGTCCCTTCCTTGCCTCCTGCCCTGCTGCCTGATCCTGATCAAGGCCACTGGCTAAAAAAGTGCCTGTTGTGCTGTCGATGGAGCGGAGCGAGTGAAGCAGTTACGTATGGGGCAGAGGTTGGTTGGTTGGTTGGTTGGGGGGGGATGCGGGTGGTGAACGCATGGGTTGTAGCGAGGGAGGTGGTGGGGAGGGGGGGGAGAAGAAGGTAGACCACGTCAGGGGATGTTGGGTGCTCCCTTGTGATCAAGGCCGTGATCAAGGTCATGATCAAAGCCTTGATCACCCACCCTGTTCTTGTTCTCCCCTCTCTGCCTTCTCCCTCCCTCTCCTTTCCCTCCTCCCCTCCCTCCCCCCTCCCTCCCCCTCCCCCCCTCCTCCTCCCACTTCTACT